ACTATATATGTGTATGAGTGTGCAACGTCTGCGTGTAGATGAATATGCATCCATGTAAATGAAAATGCAGTTTTCAAAGCCATCTGTTTATCTCCTGCTGACTTTAAATAAGTAAAAAATGACTGGGCTTCTGGAGGGATGATTCTCAACAGAGCTAATTCCAACAGAGATCATAAGCTTGTTTTCTACAAAGAAAAATGTGTTTTCATTGAAAGCCTCAGACACTGAAGAATGAGAGATTCTGCCAAGGCTACCCAAGTGTAATGCAGATGGTGTAGAGTTGGGAAAGAGCTTGTTTCTTCTATGAATTGCATGAAGGGTCTCAAAGCTCCTAGCTTTTCTATTTTGAGACCTTAGCAGTATATATTACAATTCCTTCAGAACCAGAAGCATTAATCATGTCTGGTTCAAACAAGAGAGCTCTAGTGATGCAAATATATGTGCATGTATGGAAGATATATAGTGTGTAACAAAAAAAAAAAAAAAATCAACAACAAAAAAACCAGCCCTAATCCCTGAGCATAACCAGGATTCCATCCTCTTTTCTTTTCCTCTTCTGTTTCCCACTTGCCAAGCTCAGTATAATGCCTTCAGTAGGTATACTTTCTACAAACTAGACAGAGAATACAACACCAATTTTATTGGGTTGCACATATCCAGTGATGAAGAGAGTTGGAGAGCTGGAGCCGTTCAGCTTGGAGAAGAGATGACTGTGAAGTCATTTGATGGTGGCCTTTCAGTATTGGAAGGGAAGTTATAGAAAAAGGGGACAGGGTCCATAGTGATAGAACAAGGGGAAATAGTTTCAAGCTCGAAGAGAGTAGATTTAGGTTAGATATAAGGAAACAGGCACTGGAACAGGTTGCTCAACAATGAGGTTGGTGCCTCGTCCCTGGAGACTTTCAAGACGAGACTGGATCATGCCTTGGGCAACCTGATCTGGCTGTGCATGTCCCTGTTCTTTGCAGGTGAGCTGGACTAGATGGCCCTCAGAGGTCCCTTCCAACTCTAAGGATTACATGAAAGACAACATGAGAAGATAAAGTCCCAAACAGATGGTGAGAAATTACTTTACATCTCAAGATCTGGAAGGAATAGGAAATAGAGCCAAACAATCAACAAGTCACAGTACAGTTAAAAAAAAAAAAAAAAAAAAAAAAAAAAAAAAACCACAAATACATATTTTAGCTTATCTGAAATGAAAAGTAAATGAAGAATCTCTGTAAAGCTTTCAAAGAACCACCAAATTAACATTAAAATTTCAGTGAAGTTCATGTTGCATAATGTATGCTTTCAGGTAAATGCTCAAGAAGCTTTGTTCACATTTTAAGAAGTACTTGCTCTTCACCTCTTTTTGTTAACAAAATTTTGTGTGAACAGGAAAATTATGTATAAAGGATTTGTATTTTCTGAAAAAAAATTAACACACTATACAAAGTTATGACTAGTGACAACAAACAACAACTGACAACAGATGAGGAAACAGTATTTTTTAATTACTGCTTTCTAGTCAGTACTGGAACAAGGCATTGTTTGGTAGCATCTAATGTAATCAATAAACCAATAAAATGGTTTGGGTTGGAAGGACCTCTGAGATCACCTAGTTCCAGTCCTCCTGCTTTAGGCATGGACACCAACCACTAAACTGGGTTGCTGAAAGCCCCATCTAGCCTGGCCTTGAGTACTGTCCTCCCTGATGCTTTTCCTAGGCCTATGTATATAGTCACTGTCTTCTCTGCCAACACCTATGCTGTGTCAGCCCCTGTCAGGAGAGCACCTCTTCTCTGTTTCCCTGGTAAAGGAAATCCCTGAAACCCACTGAATCTTGAGATCAGTAGCTCCAGTTTGGGCTAGGCTGCCTCTAAAGCAGCTGCTCTCAGTGACAGAGAAATTATATATACAGATATATAACAGATTTCACACTACATAACTAGGATCCTGTATGTTTTCGGATATTTAACCAAGAAACAGAACTGAAAATTCAAAAATAAATATATGAAATAAAAAATAATAATACTGGTGGGAAAAACCCCACAAATTTTAAAGGATGGCCGCATTAAAATCAGGGTAAGTTATGCAGCTAACTACTACTTCTGGTTTCTACACTTTTGAGCCTCTCAAGGGAAATTTATGAACAAAATAGGGCAGGATTCACTGAAGTTTCAGTTATGATTACAGATACTGTTGGCTGCGGGCATGATATGAAAGTGAAAAGGTGTACAGCTTTGATAATCCTCTCCCAAAACATGAGAAGTAATGTGCACCCAAAACTGAGATAATGCAAGGTTGCAGTTTCTGACAGAAGGACGTTTGGGAAACATACGGTCTGAGTACTTCTGCTATGGGGTTAAACAGAATCTTCAAAATTCTTCGTGCATAATTGTACCTGAGAACCAGCTTATGTAGAGATGAAAAAATGACAGGCTACCAAGAGAGTGTGTATTTCAAGTTACGTTCCATGTTGGAATTAACAAACCATGAAAAGTGATTAAGCTTCAGTATAAAAACCGAAGGAACTCTCAGCAATGTTTTGACTTGTAATTTTCTTTCCCCTCTTAAGCCTCAAAGGCAGCATCAGTTTGAAGCTTAGCCTGTTAATAACAGTGCTGCAGAAAGTGCTTAGGAAGAAATGTATCAGAAAGGAGGAAAGAAAAGACTTTCCAAGACATGAGGAAGGCTGAGAAGATTTTGAAGCAATAATATCTTGGAAATATAACTTATGCTAAAGAAAATGTGTTTTGTATCTGTTGGGGGAAAAAAAATGCCCTGAAGATAGTAATTTATAGCTCAACATACCAAGGCTTAGGGAATAGGAAAAATCTTGGTCTCCTCCACCAGTGTCTTACTAAGTCCTAGAAGAACTATTTTCTTGTTGTATAATCATTTGAGTTGGAAGGGGCCTTTAAAAGCCACATAGCCCAACTTCTTTGCAATGAATGGTGACATCTTTAACTAAATCAGGTCATTCAGAGCCATGTCCAGCCTGATGTTGAATATCCCCAAGGAAGGGGCAACCTGTTGCAGTGCTTTACCACCTCATTGTGAAGAACTTTTTCCTCATATTCAGTCCAAATCTCCCTTCTTTCAGTTTGAAACAATTTCCCCTTGTCCTTTTGCAACAGATCCTGCTAAAATGTCTGTCTTGTTCTTTCCTGTTGCTCCCCTTTAGATACTGAAAGGCCATTATTAGGTCTCCCTGAAGCCTCCTTTTCTCCAGGCTGAACAGCCCCAGCTCTCTCACCTGTCCTCACAATGAAGGTGTTCCATCCCTTAGATCATTTCTGTGGCCCTCTTCTAGATGCACTGTAAGAGATTAACAGAGATTTAAAAAGACATTGAATCTCACAAAATTGTCTGTGCAATAACTTAGAGCACATAAGACTTTGATGGTATACCCTCTGTCTACCATGCATTTCATGTCTGACCACAATAATATTATTTAAGCTTTCTGCTCTTCTATTTCCAGAATGCAAAATGAAAATAATAGCACAGAGAGAAAAATAAATATACACTTATATTATGCCAACTCTTACCATCTATGCTCCCTTGAAATTTGAAGATGCTACTGCACAGCTCTAGTTAGATAATGTTATTTCTTCCAATGATAAAGACAGCTTACACAGAGGGACTGAATAAAAAAGGTCAAATATACTGAAGATTGTATGTGGCTTTACGAAGATAGAAAATAGGTAAGAAATTGATAGGTACAATATACTTCAAATTTTACTGGGTAAATGGAGAGGCTGATATACCTGTACATTGAGCTATCACAGGTCTCATATTATTCTGACTTGTCAGTTCTGTACTTCTCTGTGGACATTCAGGTGATCTATTACAAACCCTGTTCAGGTTTGTGAGGACTTTTCTTACCTGTCCTGTGTGCCATGTTATAACACGAACTGCATTTTTAAATGCTGCAAGACTTGAAAGTAGAACAAATACATCATACAGAATTGCAAACTAAATTAGTCTTGATTTGGGCTACCTCAGCTGTCTCCATACTTTCAAGCTTTCCAGAAATAATATAGATGTGGACAAGGGAAAAGCAAACAGGCATTTTATTTATTGTCAGAAAACATGATAAAAAGTAATTATCAAAACAAAGGCAGTAAACTTAAAGCTGTAGAAGGAAAAATTTGAAATCAATACAAAATGTGATGAAATAGAATCTCTAGGGTAGACAACCTTAGCTTCTCTTAATCTCAGTGGTTGATAAGGATCCCTGGAACTGCGTTGGGTATTTTGAGAAAATTGTTGCATAAACAGTCATGTTTAGAGTCTCAAGGCAGTCATTAAGACCACCATCTGATGAATCATTGGAGCATGTTAGGAATAGGGAATTATTCATGCTTAAAGGTGTGACACACTCAAGTTTTACTGGCTCAGGAGCTAATATTTCAGTGGTAGAAAGACAACACAATCATGGCTAGATTTTTTCTTTTGTCCGAAACATAAAATGAAAGTTACTGTCAAGGCAGAATATTGCAATAAGTGAATCACTGGCCTAATCCAATAGATAATTCAAGTTTTTACATTTTCCTTCAATGAACAATTTTTCAGTCTTGTTTTTCCTACTTATGCAGTACACAATGACAAACTGTGAGCCTTATCTCCTGCAGAATCTGTTTGACATCTAAAAATAGAGAAGATGTATCCTCTAGGAGATGTAAATGGTGAGATTTGAACATACAATGAAGATTACCTTTTTTAAACACACAGCATTCTAATTTTTAAGTAGGTGGGGGAGTCATGTCATTCTTCAGCAATGATGTCACTCAGCTTGGAGCCCAAATGTTCTCATTCTTGGCAAGTAACTTTAAACAAAGAATGTATGGTTTTCAAATGTTCTTCAAATTCAGTAAAAAGCATTTATGCAAACAAAAGCTGTTGTTGTGTCTAGAAACTGTTGTTTATCTTTAGAGTGGAGCCATGTTAATAGTTTTAAGATGCTAAAATGTGAGGTCACTGATGCACAAAATAATCAAATTCTGATCATCTTGCTGCATAGTACTGTCATATTGCAACCTGAATTAGGACTACGTGCAAGATAAGGAGAAGATTTGAATGCTGAATCTTCATGCTCTGGGTAAGTTGTGTAAAAATTAGTATCAGAGAAGGCTTTCTATTCTTACTTTTCATGGAAGGTTGGTTTTATCTATGTTTTCTGGAACGTGTAGAGAAAATATTTGTACTAGCTGCATCAATATACAACTGTTCCAATTTGATTAAACTGATATCTTTTCAGGTATCCTGACAGCAAAATACATTGAACAGACATAATGAGTCTTAGTTCAGAGTTGTTATTGTCACCACCCAAATCCATTAAGTTCTCTGCCCCTAACAGCTAATAGATAGAAAAGAAGTGAGGAATGATGAAGAAAACCAAGAACCGTATTAACTTTTTGTAATTTACAAGTCTTCTTATGGGATAAATTCTATGCAACTACTCTGTATACATCAGTTTATCTGGATGGTTTCCCTAATAACTTGGCACTCCTTCGGCTTTTTCAATCATGTTTAGCTGAGTAGAAAAGGTTTCACTGAGAAGTTCTCATGAGTTTGAATGTAGGTAACAAGTTGTTTTCTTTTGCAGGGGGAATTTTTAACAGGTTAAGCTGAAGAAAATTTGCATCTGTATTTGTCTCCAATAAAACTACATGGGGGGAAAAAGAATATAATTTCTTCAGCCATGAGAAACACCCACAGGAGTTTGTATCTTTTTAAACATCTGCTTCAAATAATGACAAGGGAAAAAATGTCAGAAACCAAGTTTAGTTTTGATATTTTAATGTAACTTGTCTTAATATTTATGTAGTGTCCAGGAAAAATGATGAGAAGAAAACAAGAAAGGAAGATTGGAGGAGAAAAGAGAGTTGGCTGTGATTAAAGAGAAGTTTTAAACAGTGGGTAGATACAAGTGGAAACAGTGGATAGATATATAAAGTAGATTTTTCTTTTCCAGATAAAATTTCCATCTGTGTATCGAAACATCTTTTCATCTAAATATCATTGTAACATTCAGTGAAACAAGGGAACATTTGTATGTCAGCTACATACAATAGTGCTGTAAAGCATGACTTCCAGGCTATTTGGATGGCTACCAAGGCAAGTAATGCACAAGTCATTTCTGAAGTAATATACAAACAAAAGTAGATTGTTACATCCCCTGGGTTGATTATCTATTGCTTTCATTTGTTTTTCTATGTTATTAAAGTCTCAAAAGGCCTTAGGTAAAAGAAAGAGAAAGGAAAAACATAAAACACAAAAGGAAGACAAAAAATCTGAAGTAGTAACGGGGAGGGGGGAAGGGGGGAAGGTCAAGTGAATATTATAATACAAATAACAGTTATCCATTGAGAGCAAAAAACTCTTGGTGGGGTAAAATTTGTATTTGCAGAACTAGAAAGTTTTCAATCCTTTTGGGAAGAGTTTAGGGTTTCAGAACGTAGTACTGTTTATGCAGTGTTGTGTTTGTTTGCTTTTTTAATAGACAAAGTTACTAATTCTCTACTCATACTGAATCCATAGCAAGGAACATACATATAAAGTGTAGTTCTTCCAAAGACAGGTATTACGCATTCTTGATTGTGGCATGAGAAGCGGGGTCATTGTTTTTCTATCAGTTCAACTCCCAGCTGCATAAACAATGCCAATAGACTGCAACAGACAGAGGAGGAAAGGTACTATTGTTTAGGAGACAGGCAAGATTGTACTTTTTACTCTGCTGCTGTAATACAGCACTTCTTCCCAGTTGAGGTAGAATATTCAACCTAGATGTGGCTCTGGGCAGCCTAGTATCTTTATCTTTTCCCCTCCTCTTTATGTAGTGAGGATGTATCAAGCTGTAGCCCAATACGTGGTATGAATTTACTGCTGGTAGATAAAGAGCCAGTCTAGTGGTTGGCGACCTTGCACATAGCAAGGGGCTTGAAACTAGATGATCACTGTGGTCCTTTTCAATTCAGACCATTCTATGATTCTGTGATTCCAGACTACTTCGGAATACGAAGAACATACCTAAAACTCATTGGATTCCTTCCTCAGCAATAGTATGGAAGCAGTATCGTTGTTACTACGTGAGGCAGCCATGCAGCAGATGCTACACAACTTGTCATTTAGAAAGGCAGAATTTTCTTTTGTTATCTTCCATCTTATGAAATGATGTTTACTCTGACTTAATGACAGAATCAACGATCTGGTTGTTTATATTCAGTTACAACAGTAAATATAGTAGACCTGTCACATACAAAAGTGTATGATTGCTCATGTCACATTCCAGTTCACATATCTGCTCCCAGTAATTAGAAACTAATAAACTTTCACACAGCGTGATGCCGTATCTGCTTAGCATCAAAGCTGCCAGAATTAACTAAACATCAGTCTGCAGTGCAATTTTTCTGAGAATCTTTGAGGGAACTGCATAGTGCAGTTTACAATGCCAGTTACTAAGTGGATTGCTAATGTTTGTTTTTTTTTGTAAATTATCTGCAAAATAATGATGAATAGTGCTTGCTTCATACATACTTTTGTCTCAACTTTGGAGTCTGAAGAAGTTTTAGCTGTTAGCTTGGCAGCCAAGGCTGAGAAATTGGTATGTTATCTCTCTCACCCAGTACCTCTCGTATCAAAATTCTCTGCCATCTAATTAAGTAGCAAACTTAGATCAGAGATGGTCTTTCTTTATCCAAGTACTTGTCATCACAGGCCTTAATGGAAGTTAATTATGTTTTTGGATATTCATGTGTCTGTTGAATCTGACCCAGGTAGCAAAAATAACTAGGGAATGTACAAGAGATAGACGTGTGGGAGAAGAAGGGAGGGGGAAAAAAAGTATATTACACAATCCATTTTTTCCTGCATATTTTTCTTTTCCTCTCCTCTCCTCTCCTCTCCTCTCTTTTCTTTTTTATAAGCCTTTCCTATTTGCCTTGTAAGACATGTTGTTTACAAGAATTTACCAGCCTAGATAGAAATCAAGCAGGAGCTAAATGCAAAATGTAATTGCTCAAATTCAGTTGGAGTCAAATAGAATAAGTGTGAACAAATGTCAAGCAAGAAATTCTAATATGCCAAGGTAAAAACTGTTTAACTGTTTTGCATATTTGACAGTGTACTGCATACACAATGCTGGCACATTGTCACTTTTCACTAGTTCCCTAAAATGTAACATAACATTAGTGATTCCCAAGGAAGCAGCATGTCACAGTGGGAAGTATCTGCCATCATTTGCCAAGGCAATTCATGATCAGTTACCCCTAATTAGGTTTTTATAGCTGACTTTTCTATTGCCTTGGGAATAGTAGTTACCTGATATTGAAAAGCAGTACTCATACTTGGAGTTACAGTGTTCTTATGGAGAAAGGAGGGATTTTTAATGAGATTCTGAACTTCCAAGGAAATCTTGAGAAGATTCTTCTCTTTTGGAAATGTCTTGAATCTCACAATGGGCACTGAAGAGGCAGGTAAATTATATTTTGAACTAACACAGAAGATAAGCCTGCCGATATGATAGGGTGTGGGGTACTGAATGTCTACTTTTCCATGCAAACAAATCAAACTCACAGCACCTTTCAGTCTAAAGTGATTGCAGTACATTGGAAATTTACCTAATACCCCGCTCCCAACTTGTTTTCTCTGTAGTTGTATATAATTATAACATCTGTTATATTACAATCACTGAAGGGCAAAAAATGATCCACTAACATGCACAACGTCTATTGCAAAAGACCCAGCAATTGCCCCTAAAATATTCTGATTTTCATTTTGTTGCTGTAGTTACCTCTTTTGTCCATGCTGAAGCATACGGTAAGAATGCTGTAATTGTAACATGCTCCCTGCTGTCTTAAGTAGTTTTCACAGCACTGTTTTCAGAGTGTTTGTGAAGTATACCATATGGTTTCCACACTTGAAAGCTGGCCGGACCCTGGTTGTTACCAAAAAATGTGAGCAACATATCTTCACAAACTCACGTTCTTTACTCCATACCTCATAGTTGCATTAAGGGGTAAAGAAGTTTGGCAAAAAATAAACCCCCTTCTGTTCCAGCTTGTCCTCAGTTATCAGAAGAGCTGGGGGTTGCTGGGTTTAGATTCTGAGTGATACCCAATTTGTTGCTGCAAGTCTGATTGCATTTGAATGAAGTATCATGGCTACCCTAAAAGGAGTTTGGCTGTGCTTGAGAACCCTCAAGGCTAGGTTAATGAAGAGTGCTGTTTATTGAAGCAACAGAAGGCAGATTATTTTCATAAAATCATAGAATTGTTTGAATTAGTAGGGACCTTTAAATGTGATCTAATCCAGCTCCCCTGCAACGAACAGGGACCTCTACAGCTAGATCAAGTTGCTCAGAGCTCTTGTATTGCCAGTGATAATATACTGTCTGCAGGGCATGTGCATGTACGAAGAATGTGAATAATACAGCTGACCAGGAACACGTTAAACTATGGAATAACTCAACAGAGGTTTCTAAATTTCCCTAGGATGCACTCAGTATGAGTGTGCAAATCTTACCTACTAGGTGCCCTTCTGGGGAGGAGGAGAAGATTAGCCTATCAACAGATCCCAGAAGTCAGCAATATCCTCCTGACTCACCTGTGGTGTTATCTTCCCCAAATACCTCTTAAGCAATTTTTATACTATTTTCTTTCAGGTGGAGCTTGAGTGACTCCAGTCATACATATCTTTGTTGCAGTTGGTACTGGTGGAAAATGGAAAATTGCCTACTATGGAATCTATCCATTTCATAGTACCACTGAGCTCCTGTCCCTGCCAGGTTAGCACAGGGTCTGGCCCATGATGTCTGCGCTCCATTTCACCCTCCATGCTGTATCTCTTAGAGTATAAACTGCCCAGGTGTTATTAACACCTATGGATGCAGGTGTGTCCTGCTTAGGGAACTGTCATGGAACAGATGCCTTGCATATTCACCATATTCCACCTTGGAGGTTTCCTCAGAGCTGTACCTTTTCTAAAGAAGTGGCCATCTCAATCAGCCACCACCAATTACTCTACATAATCCCATCCTGTGACTGTATTCACTCAGTCTGCACAATATTTAGAAGGAATTGAGGACTGAACTCAAATGGT